GATGATACAAACTAATATATTTTCATACCGATCCATGTACTAGATCTTGATTATTTTTATGCAAGAAGTCTTAGTAGACATACGGCTCGGTCAGTATATTAGTACCATACTCATGCGACAAATATTACAAGCCATGGGTAAAAGGATTATGAAGTTTGTTGATTTCAACTCAGCTATTTGATATTTTACTGAAAATATTACAATAAATCGAGGTACAAAATAGCGATAATAAATCTTACAAAACAGCACATATCTAACCAATTATTTTATTCTCTCTAATATTTTTTTATGAGCTTTAAGAATAAAATTGGCACATTCTTTTGGTATCTTGACTATTTTTTTTTTCTTATACTAACTTTATGCTAGCTAATTAATTATCTTGCCATTCTTGGGCTCTTTCTGTTGGTCTACTAGTTTATTGAATCTAGTCCCAGTAACTTTGCTGGAACCGGTTTACTAGCTACAAAAATGATATGTTTTGCTTCACTAAATAAGATTTAAACATGGGTGCAGACCACTTTACCATACCAAGTTAAGGTTTCTCTTTGCCTATCTAAATATTTAAGATTTCAAGTCATGGAGGATAATCTTTTTGCAAGCCAATACGTGACTATGCTGTTTATAGAGAATGCTTAGACATACTTTTATGTAAACTTGGCTTTCGATGTGAATGGAATATCAATTCGTAGATTTCGTAATCCAAATTAAGAAGGATGAAGCATAATTAATTAGATAGATGATACAAACTAATGTATTTTCATACCGATCCATGTACTAGATCTTGATTATTTTTATGCAAGAAGTCTTAGTATACATACGGCTCGGTCGGTTTATTAGTACCATACTCATGCGGCAAATATTACAAGCCATGTGTAAAAGGATTATGAAGTTTGTTGATTTCAACTCAGCTATTTGATATTTTACTGAAAATATTACAATAAATCGAGGTACAAAATAGCGATAATAAATCTTACCAATTTATCTTGAGCGATTTTTATCAGATCTCTCATGATATGTATTATATATGTACTACATCATTATCTATGAAATATTGTTTGGCATAAATTCGGATGTATTTTTTTCTTAGTTGCTTTCTGAAAGAAAATGTTATCTTCAGGTGGGTGACGCATTTATTGACAAGAGCTACAAATAGTCAAAATCTTCTGCACCATGGAATGGATTACTTGAAAGAAATTGGTTCTGGATGTTAAGGCGTCATATTTTAGTGCAGATTTCTTTTGAAGCGATTAGTGTTTGTGAGTAGCAAACAGATCAATTAAGGCAATTGCATAGAAGTTTTGCACTTGTGGCAATGCAGATTGGGCTGAAATAGTGTGTTCAGTCTAATACAACTTGTTGTTGCTGGTAATGGCTCTTCTTGTCCATGCTTACTACTGCATGGATGGGATGGGAGGGCGGGTGAGAGCAGTGAAGCTGGTAGATGATTCGAGAATATAACAAGTGTGCTGCATTTGAACCGACGAATAATTGCATTGGGGTTCTCGTAAGAAGAAACAAGATAGAGAGAGCACTATCGGTTTTGATAAGAGTTTATTAGGCAGCATAATGGCGTTGTGATGGCTGCTGAAGAAGGGAGTTATTAGCAAGACTTGGCTGGGGTGGGTGGTGCAGAAGAAAGCTTGGGTCGGTGGGTGAAATATAATTATTTTCAATTTAAATATAGTTATTAGCAAGGTTTAGTCCCACATCGTAGTTATTTTGAATCTAACATCTCTTTATCAATGCGTCGATCGGCGATGATGTTTTCTCTTAGGAGACATCCGATAAAATTGGAACGTGATACAGAGAAGATTAGCATGGCCCTGCGCAAGGATGACACGCTCAAATCGAGAAATGGTTCATATTATTTTTCAGATTCACGTTCTCTTGTTCTTGATTTGATTTCCTATCCTTCCCCTTCTGATTTGATTTTTATTTTTGCTGCTCCCTTTTGCGGACTTCTGAGTTCGCTTCGCTTTAGATCACAGCACCATTCTTTACTCGCATAACGAGCAACGTTATCAGTTACGGCGCCGGCTGAATTGTTTTTTATGTTATCGACGGATACTCTACTCTTCTTCTTGACTCGTTCGACTTCTGCACTCCCATGAATACTTGCTTCTGGTCGAAGACGGCGTTATGTGTTGATGGTATTCGGACCTCTGATTAACATTGTAAGATTTGGTTCCTTCGCTTTCCGTTTACTTAAAAGTTATACAGACATGATTCGTTTTTGCGTCTAACCATGTCTGGATTGGCCATCTCCTTCCAAACATATATGATTGTGTTGTATTTACAAGTAAAGAAAAAAAAAAATGTATATGTTGTCGAGACTGCCGAGCATAACATGATATATGCATAAACGACAAGTTCTGGATGATTTTATCTTTAGAAAACCTTTAATGATCTTGCATGAATATTTTCTTTCTTGTAAAGTAGAAAGCCATTTTTTTGAAGACTTAGATGAATCATACACCTTAAGGTTTCCTTTCTGTAGCAGACAAGTATTGAATGACTGGCATCATAATTACGTCTGTTTGTTTATATGATGAAGACCTGAATTAGTTGCTTCTGACTTTGCACTGGCTAGTGTTCCTTTATTTTCATTTACTAATGTATTTTTTTTTATTTCGATTTGAAGTATCACCAATATCTTAACATGTGAAATTCTTGTGTATGGCCCAACTCCCATTTCTAACACCATACCTCTGTCGTCAGCAATATTGGCTCTGCTGTTGCCTATTAGAGAGGTAGCAGGTTCAGCACCAAGAAATGGTTTCCATCTGTGTGCCATTGACAACCTAGAAACTTCAACTCATAGGATGAAGATGAAGCATGACACGAGTGCCATGCCCTTAACGATCCATCATGAACTGAAAGGACGTGATAGCTTTTAACAATCTGATGGTCTTGATACATGTGAATTAAAGAGTTGCTCACAGCATTGTATGTCAACGGAAGAAAGTTGAAGAGCGAAAAGAAGGCAGTTTGATCTATTCCATTGTCCAAATGGTTTCAAAATCAAGGAAGGTTTTCTGAAGCATTCTAGACAAAATCTAGTAATGTAAGGTGCTTAGATAAATCTTGCTGCATGCAACCGGTGTAGGTGTTGCGCTATCTTCTGCCAGCACAATGTCAGGACAGGCCAGTAAACAGAGCACTAGGTTGGCACAAGCTTCTAGTGGTCGGTCATCTCTTTTCCCTCGGTGTCTTGGCACTAGGACATGCCAATGACACTGTGGGCTATATAACACGCTATGCTGCTCGGATTCAGCAACTTTATACATAAGGTATCACAGCATCATTAGCACACTTTGCTGGATTGTTACTTGATAATCGTAAGAAGTAGGATCTTTTTTCATCATCATGTTATTTTTGCAGTTCAGTCCATGGATTGCTTCATGACTACATCCATTTTAACCATGATCTTTCACTGTATTTAGCTTATGCTATCACATATCAGAGTACGATGTCAACTCTATCAAGAACTTCTGTTCCCTTAGCAAAATCTAGATTTCATTCGTGGAGTCCCAGCTATCTTCCTGTGACTATAGTTTTGGTTACCTTTTCGTATGTTGCCATTTAAATCTCCTTTCTCATCTTGATTGCAAGAGTTGATGTTGTTGTATCCAGGGTCTATGATTTGATCACATTAGCCAGAAGAGCCTCTCATCTTATACGTATGAAATGCCAGCACACTTGTGCCGACCATGCAGTGTCATGCATGTCGAAGAGCACTAATTGCATCATTTGATGCTGAAATTACACTCAATATTGGTTGCGGAACATACGAGGCAAAACTCAGTGCTACAACATATCGACTGTTATTACTATCAAGTAATTGGCAGGTATTCTTATTTTTCCTAAAGAAATTATTGTGTTTCATATTTTGAATCTTCCAAATAAATTTACGAGGTTTATCCATAATATAACAGTTAATTTTGTCTTTTGCAAATAAATTAAGTTTCCTATTTTGAAGTCTCAAAATAAATTAATCAGATTCTTCCATCGTGTAACAATTAATTTGCTTTTGTGCAACAAATGCATTGGATAGCTTAATTATTAATTTTTATGTTATGGAAGAATCTGATTAGTTTATTTATCTGCATTTATCGTGTCCTTTGTGTGATACTAAAATGACTCTGTTGATCGTCTTTTCTTTATCTGTGAATTTTCTAAATGATGTTGGCAGTATGAAAGAACGAGTCTGATCTCAAAAACTCTTGACTATGTTCATTGTTTAACAGGTATTACTCATTTCTACTACTTGTTGCCACAATTTTATGTTGGCTTAGTATGAAACCCTTCAAGCATGCCTGAGTTGTCTCCATCAGTTACAATGATTACAAACTCTGTGTCAAGATCAAGCAAACATTGTTTTGTGAAATCAAAGGACCATCCATGTGAAATTTTTTCGGTGGATAAAGTCTATTTATGTTATCGATGATTGGATCATGGTTTGAGGATTTGTTATCCCTTACGTATTATTTGTTTTGGCCCATTGATAGTACCATTTTGCTATTATAGAAGACATGTTGAAGAGAGAGTGTCTTGTTAGTCACAAATGTTCTGGACTCTCTAATATGGATTATTTGTTGTAGAAGTATATTAGAGATATTTTAACCCATGGATCATATGAGTTTACCTTTGGAAAAGATGGCTTAACAGGAATAGGGTGGACTTCTCATAAGCCACATTCTTTCTGGACTTTATCCAATATGACAGTATTGGTTTATCACCCAAATATATCATGATGTATTGCTGCACATCCAACAGTTTCTGTGTGCTTAATTTCTGCACGTATTTGTTCATGTAAAGTGATTTATTGCATCCAACACATTTCATCTGTTCAAAATTTGGGCCCTTCTTTACCATATATATTCTTCTATAAATCTCCCATCTCCAAGATGGGTGGATAAATTCTTAATAGAAAATGTGTTTGTATTTGGTAACATGGGATGATTGAGATTACTGCTTCATTTTGAACTTGCTTTCCTATGCATGGTCTGATGTTTGAGGGAGAATCTATTTTCTATACTTAATATTCACCCTAATATAGATAGTTTATTCTCTATAATAATTAGCGGAATGAATGTGTACCAATATAATTTTCTTTCAAGATTTCTTGTTTGTTAGTAGATTTATTTTTTTATTTTGGACCCGTTCTTTTCGAATTCATTGGATCATCCCATGTTTCCGCGATAAAATTATAAGGTTCAAATATAATATATACAATTTTTTCTTGGAAACTGAAATAACAAAGGGGTCGGTGGATTAATGATGTCGGCTATGGACGGTGTAGAATCGAATCGTTGAAACCCGGTTCTGATTCGATTCGGAGCGCGTTATGGTAAGGGTTCTAAGTTTGTCTAGTGTTTCGTTGGCTCACAGTAAGAAGACATTTAAGTGGGACCCACTTTATAGCAATATCACGAGGATCACTTCGGTGCGCACGCGGGTATTCTATCCAGCGGGCAAATCGTGTCGACGGAGTTCCGTTTCCGGTTTCACTTCCCTGAATATGCTGCACACGCGCGTGACGTACGCGCACGGTGTACGCGCAGGAATCATGTGGTTGAAAAAGCGATCGTCATCCGACGCAGCGGGGAACTACGTTTCGTTTTACGAGGAAAAAAAGATTCGACGCTTTGATAACCGTCTGATCTTGAGATCTTAACGGCTGAGAGAGGGCCACCGGCTCATGTCAAAACAGCATCTATATCTTTGCAAGCTTTGCTTCCAGCAGTCCAATCCCAGACGCCTCAAGAGGAAGAAACCTTCGGCTTCGGTCTGTTGGGGCGATCTCGTATTCCCGCACGTCGCCGCCGAGGTCCATCTCCCCCTCTTTGCTTCTTCCATGGTTTTTCTTTTGCTTTTTCTCTTCTTTACCGAAGTTGATGATTTAGTGTTTTGATTGTTCCTTTTTTCCGATCTGAAATCGATCCATTTTCGTTTGATCCCGTATGGGCTTACTTCGTATCCACGAGCTGTTGCTATGGTCGGTGTTGCTGTAACTCTCCGCCTTTGCATATGGGAGAAGAATCCAGATGTCTCGTTTTGGGTTAAAAATATGGGTTTTCTCAATTTCTTTTTTCTTATTTGTGATGGAATCTTTTAAATTTTGAATTTTCTTCTTGGTATCTAGATCATAAGATGAATACCTGTTATCATATTTGATTGTTGTGCTGCGGGATTATGGTTGTTTGTGTGCGGAATTTGCTTTATTTACTAAATAGGACATCTATCCCTGAGGTCTCCTTGGATCCAATGTAGTGCCATGTAAAACTGGTGGTAGTTCACAATTTTGATGATTTTCTTCCAAAAGGTGGTAATTTCATCGTTGATCTGTAGATTTAGTTTTTAGCTTTTTTTTTCCCTCTTGTTTTGAAATTTATTAAACTGAAACTAAAAATTGTAAATTTTTTGTATATTTCTATATTGTGATTTTTGGTCAGGAATTCCATGGATCTGTTTTTTTTTTATGATGGGTCATACTATTTATGTTTTATATTAATAATAAGGTGTGTATGCCACAACTTTCTGTTAGGATAGAAAAACTTGTTCCATGGCAAACTGTTAGCATCAGCATAATAGAACAGAAAATATGATGCTTTGACTATGAATGTCATATATATATGCACTAGCATTTAGAATTATGCTGTTGAGATGCTGCAGGCGAGGTTTTAGTTGCTGGCAGCTGACAGTATGTACCATCAGCATGGTATGATAAATTGGATGTTCTTCTAGATCTAAATGAAAATGCACAACGGGTTTCCAAAGGAAAAAGAGCTATCTACTTGCGTCCTTGGTCATTGGCTGATTCTCTAATCTCTGCCTTTGTCTAGCCTTGACAAGATGATGCGAGGTGACAATATAAGAGTGGAAAACCAGAGACGTGATAGGGATAAGGGTTAGGTATCCTGGCACATGTTGGGATGAACTGGAACTTGTCCTTGTTAATTGATTAATCTTTTTAAAATACATGACACCAGGTCCACTCGATGATGAACAACGCAAGACAGGTTGTTAAAGGAGAAGCATATTGGTATCCTAGTATAATAATCTAGGATAAATTTAGTGTTGCTTAGATTATAGAGAATAAGTTGATAAGCCACAATATGAAACTTTAGGCAATAGTGATTGAACTAAGACTAAGATTTTAAATAAGTATCTTAAAAAATACATTTGGTTCTATGCTCGGAAGATCAACCACATAAATTATTTTATCATGACAATTAATATAAAAATAATAGCAAGGAGAAGGACATATGTATTATTCTTATTGATCTTACATATTCCTAGAATGGAGCGTTTCAATAGGCTTTTCATAAGACAGTGCTATTTATTTGTTTGATTAATGTGATAGAAGACACAATAGAGTTGTGATTAGCATTTATGACCATGGATGTAGTCATGTTCTCTATAACTATGTATGTACATCAAGGATGTTGTTGGGTGTTTTTCTCTTCAATTTGATTATGGATAAAGTTTCCATATTCAAGATGAACTTCAATGGTGCATGTTATTTGATAATGGTGTTCTTATTGATGAGAATTTAGTTGCATTTTAATTGGAACTTGACCATTGTTGACAAATGCTAGAAACTAGGTGTTTTAGATAATATGGAACTAAAACCAAACTACATGAAGTGACTTTAACAATTCCACGGGAAGAATTTTGATTATAGTAATGATGAATGGACAAACGTTTCCTAGAACTGTAACTTCTAAATATCTTGGATTCACATTCAGTGTAAAGACATTTTTTATAGAGTTGATATGGGATGGTCAAAGTAGAGGAGGACGTCAAACATTTTATGATGTCGTGTGGATATTAAATTAAAATAAAATCTTATGATACAATGGTAAGGCCAACAATGATTTGTGTTGAAACATTGTGCAATTAGAAATTAGTATGTAGAAGAAGCTAGTGTCATAGAGATGGATGTGTCCGGTTACTAGAAATAATATAAAATAGGACAAGGAATTAGTGGATCCTTTCTTGTCAATTGCAGTTAATTTAGGCAGCCTATTCGAGACTTCTGCCAATGTGGTATGACAAGGTTTAATATACACAGCCTTGCATTGCAAATTGTAATAGAAGAAAGCTGTTACCAGGACTGAAACTTCGGTTAGGTCGCAATGAAGCCACATTACTGCCACCAAGTTTCCCAAGTTAATGTAATTATATTTGAAGTTTTAGGTGCATCTTTGACCTTGATCCTCAACATCTATAACTATTCTTAAAATCTTTAGACCACATGCGTCATTTAAGATGTGAAGTCACTAGAAGCTTGATTTGATGTTTTGTCACTGAAACAAGTTGAAATAATTTTGTGAAAACTCACAAGACAGCATGACACCTTTTGCTAAGGTTTCTGTATAGTCTCTGAAAGCATTAAGAGACATTTCCATGGCCTGGTTGTTTTAGGTAGTTGTTTAGAATCATTAGTTATTTATTTATCTTCTAGGTCTTCGTCTCATACAGTTGATAGAATTGTCATATGGAAGTGGCTAATTTTTATTTGTTTTTTTTAAACCATAATATAATGTTGATTCTCGTGTGATTCGTTTAACCCTTTAATCTTCTATATCAACCGTCCTTCATTGCTGCATATAAATTTTGATTCTAGCCATGTTATTCAACCTTATTTTCTTCTGTCACTTGTCTGAAAAAAGATCTGACAATTACTTGGGAAATGTGCAAATTTCAACACATGATTTTTAGTAATAATGGACTCTGCTCAAGAGAATTGCTTTTCCCTGTTCTGTATCTTGCTGCCATTGTTTAATATGATATTTGATTCTTTTCGTGTTTCTTAACTCAATTTTCTTTGTCCTTATTGATCATAACAAGAATACTTTTCAATGATTAGGCAATTTGATATTGATTTATGGTCAATTTAAAATTATACAGTTGGACGATGGTGATTTGTTTTTTCAAAAAATTGTGCAGTGATGTAATGACGGTATGTAATTCGTTGGAGGGTAATTTGGGCTTTCTTTGCTAGAGGATAACCTAGGCTTACTCTTATTACGTTTTAGATGAATTTCTGTTATCTAATTTTACCATTGGAAGTTCTCCATTTTTTACTACTGTACATGATTTTTCACGTCTATTGAGATTGTTCGAACTGCTGTGAGGATGAGTTCATTTAGAATCTTGCATAGCAAAATGCTAGTCTACATGGAATACTGAGGTTCAGAGATTGGCCAAGTCTATGTTGACATTGAAACATTGTGACTGTAATTGGTCCTATCAGTCAAATTATAATCATATATCATCGGATTGGAGTTGCTCAGGGTTAACATAGGAACAACCAGGTTCACCAGATTAATTTGGGATTGACCAGCATCTTCCAGCTAGGTTGAGATAGATTGGAATCCTCTGAATCATTTATGGTTTTGACTGAATTATTCTAGATTGAAATCAGTAGTAGTATGGTATGATTATGATAGGTTGAAAATTACTAGTGCTTTTATCAGTGGTAACTGGGTTTGGCCATGATTACCCTGCCCCAAAATTCATGGATCACATGTCAAATCAGATTTCTTGATTTTTGACAATCCTCTGGAATTGCTTAAGCTATTGAATGTGTTATGAGTAGGTCAAGTGAGTTGTACACATCAGAACTAGAAGAATGCATGGAGTTTTTCTTCATCATTGGTACATGGCTGGGTAATCTTTGTTCTGAAGAGGCCAACCTCAGAATCTTTTGAAGTCAATAATTTGGCATTTCTCCCATCTTTATGTGACTGATTATTGTAAACTATGCTTCAATGGTCCTAAAAAGAACAGAGTAGGTTGGTACCTAGGTTTTCCCTTGAAAAAGATGTCCATTTTATTAGTTTCCAATGTTGAAGGACAAAGTTTGCTTCATTTTGTCATAATACTTCTCTCATCCAAATTCCATACTATGCATATAATCTCTTTCTTCAATCTTTATACTATATTGTGGTATAACCCTGTCTTGCATATTATTATTTTTATTATTTTGTTTCTCAGTGTAAGGCAGAACTCTTGCTAACTGATTTCTGAAGAAAACTTGTGGATTTTCTTTGAATTGCATGGAGAACCTGTTACTTTTAGGTTGTTGTAGTTGATGTCTTTTTAACCTTGGGGTAGCATCAGTATTTACTGTTTTTGGACCACATTTTGATGTTTCTTGTGCATATCTTAAATCGTAAACATGTACTATCTATGCACAGTGCTGTTATCCTTGTTTATGGAATGACTTTCATCAAAATATCTCAAGCTGTCTGGCTTAGTTCTAGGAATTCTTTTGATGCCTATTCTTTTCAAATCTTCTTATTTGCCAGATCATTTGAAGTAGGTTTTCCTAGACTATTCCGGCACAAGCTAGCTGAAATGGCTGAAACGGATAAGAACATTGAGATCTGGAAAGTCAAGAAATTGATCAAGGCTCTGGAAGCAGCTAGAGGTAATGGCACTAGCATGATCTCTCTAATTATGCCGCCTCGTGATCAAGTTTCTCGAGTCACTAAGATGCTGGGTGATGAATATGGAACTGCATCAAATATCAAAAGTAGAGTCAATCGACAGTCTGTTCTAGGTGCGATTACTTCCGCTCAGCAGAGACTCAAGCTATACAACAAGGTTCCTCCGAATGGACTAGTTTTATACACCGGAACTATTGTTACTGAAGATGGAAAAGAGAAGAAAGTCACGATAGATTTTGAGCCATTCAAGCCCATCAATGCATCTCTTTACCTCTGTGATAACAAGTTTCATACAGAGGCATTAAATGAACTTTTGGAATCTGATGACAAGTTTGGTTTCATAGTTATGGATGGCAATGGTACACTCTTTGGCACTTTAAGTGGAAATACACGTGAGGTTCTTCACAAGTTCACAGTTGACCTTCCAAAAAAGCATGGTAGAGGTGGTCAATCAGCACTACGATTTGCTCGCCTTAGGATGGAGAAGCGCCATAACTATGTCCGCAAAACTGCTGAGCTTGCGACTCAATTTTTTATCAATCCTGCCACAAGTCAGCCTAATGTTGCAGGATTAATTCTGGCTGGGTCTGCTGATTTTAAGACAGAGTTAAGCCAATCTGATATGTTTGATCAACGGCTACAGGCTAAAATTCTCAATGTGGTTGATGTGTCATATGGAGGCGAGAATGGTTTCAACCAAGCCATTGAGCTATCAGCTGAGATTCTATCAAATGTCAAGTTCATACAGGAAAAGAAATTGATAGGCAAGTACTTTGAGGAAATAAGTCAAGACACAGGAAAGTATGTGTTTGGTGTTGAGGACACCTTGAAAGCTCTTGAGATGGGTGCCGTTGAGACCTTGATTGTGTGGGAAAATTTGGATATTAACCGGTATGTCCTGAAGCATAGTACTAGTGGTGAGACTGTCATAAAGCATTTGCGGAAGGATCAGGAAACAGATCAGAATAATTTTTTGGATTCCGTAACCTCCTCAGAGCTGGAAGTACAGGAGAAAATTTCCCTGCTGGAGTGGTTTGCAAATGAATACAAGCGCTTTGGATGTACTCTTGAATTTGTTACTAACAAATCTCAGGAGGGATCTCAGTTTTGCAGAGGCTTCGGTGGCATTGGGGGAATCCTTCGTTATCAGCTTGACTTGAGGGCCTTCGATGAGCTTTCCGACCAGGAATATGATGAAGATTCCGAATAGCAATCAGCCAACCAATTACTGGATTCGGTCCAGAGGGAGCCTGTGCTGGCCCCACCTGTGACCAAACTTGCTCTCTTGAATTGCACACATCTCAAAAACTATGAAAGGGGTATGATGCTTTTTTCTTTTATTATCATTCTGTTAGAACATCAGCATTTCCTACAGTTGTAATTTTTAAGGTTCTAAATCTCATAGTTTATTTCTACAACCTATCGGCTTTTCATCTTGCAGGAGCTGCACAACAGATTGAGGCGACAAAGCGTGGGACTTAATTAGCTGCTGAAATGAGATACTTACGCAGAAGATGAAGGTTTCTCGGATGCAGCGGTTAACGTGAAAACGTGGGACCAGTTATTTATAATATAATACCTGGGTACTATGGTCTGTTTTGTTTTCTGTCGATGCTGTCTTCCAGTCTTAGCCAGTTGGAAGATTTGTCATCATGTTTGATGCTTGCAACTGCTTTCTTAAGATAAAACCTATTTTTATTATCTATGTGCTGTTATTAGCAAGACCGTTCTACGTCACTCTCAGCATAATCGAGAAATGCGACTCTTTTATTGTGTATGGTCGGTACCATTGTCAGTCATATATCGGAAGAAAGCTGTGTTCTTATGACTGGGCCTTCACTGACTCGGAGCAAAGAGGTATTGCATTCAATCAGGTGCGTCTTTTTCTTTGCTTGCTTGTGTTATTCATCTATTGGATGGTATCCTTAATCTGAGATTGGTCTACTCTGAGTTCAAATCTGATTTCGGTCCCTGTCATTCTAAATGTCAGCCAAGTCAAAGAGATCAAAGTGTTTGTGTTAAGAGCGGGTGTTTAGGGGTGGGTTGGTTGGCCCACATGGATGGTTTGCCACAATTAATGTGGTTGGCGTTGTTGGCTACCAATCAACGTTAATTGTTATTACTATTACCTGTGCGTTGCACCACTTTGCCTCCCTCCAGCATTAACTCTCCTGTGACTCTTCTCTTGCAAGCTAACAACACAGTTTCGATCATGAAAACAGACAGTAGCATTAATAGCTGGATAAGGATTAACATCAATTTCCATCTCAATCCATAGAATAGAGAGGATCACATGGATGTATGTTTGTTGGGAGGGGATTTTTGAACCACATTCTATCAATTTGGCACATCAAACAAGCAATTACTAAGCAGTCAAATGTTGGTAATCAAACCAACTCGCTCTCTCAACTACTCTCTTTATGCTTCACGTATCACTAATTCATTGAAAAGAAGCTTCCCCGTCTTCCCGAGTCTTTAATGCCTCCAACAATCAACACCCATAAGGCTCACGATTTTTCGCTTCGACTCCCATCCTTCCTCGCGCCCACTGCATCGAAATCCACTCGAGTTTGGATCTTGGCAGTCCCAGGTACCGGTAGGTGCTTGAAGGAGCTCTCTCTCTCTCTCTCTCTCTCTCTCTCTCTCTCTC